TTTGTCTATTTTGTTTTTTTAGATAGAGCCTCTCTATGTAGCCCAGGGTGGCCTCAAATTCGTGATATTCCTACCTTGGCATTATAATGTATGCTACCTCACCTGACATTTTCTTCTTCTTTTGCTGTCAATTTTGTTTGTTGTTTTGAAGCACTGTTCTCCTCAAGCCAAGGTTGCTCTGGAACTCCGGATCTTTCCTCCCAAACATGGTGCTTTCTGGCATGCTCTACCACATTGCAATGATAATTCTCACCACCCATTTTTGCTCCATCATTCCCCACCATGTTAATGTCTTGTGTGGCCTTTGACTCCTCCAGTCATTCAAAACTGATACAACTGTTTGTGCTCAGTTTCTGTGAGCTTTTTCATTATGCTGAATCATAATTCTGGAAAAACAAAACTCTTTTGTCAAGTAATAAATAGGACTATGTAGTTGATGTGATGGAATTTAGGGATCCATTCTTTTATTTCTTTATGGAAAGTAGAAGATGAATGCACTTATGTAGATATCTTACCTGATATCACTGCAATCATTACAAGTTTTGGTTTGTGGCTTCCTTATGTGCTTGTTAGTGCACTGGTTTTCTTTGTGCTTTAGAGGTATTCAAAGTGTTTGGGGGTATTTGGGTTTTAGTTTGTTTTCTTAGTTCTGATGGCTGTCTTGTAAACTATGTAGGATCCATGTCTTTCAGATGATGATGAGTTCTTGTGAATTTGCATTTTCCTGTAAAGAACTTCATCTTCTGAGGTGCCTGTCTTTGTCAGGTCTTTCCTACTGCCTCTGTTCTTCTTTATAGAAGTGGACATGAATTTCAATGCTTTTAGATTTGCAGATTCATTTCTTTAAGTGAGGCATCATCTCTAGGATGCGCACTCTTACACTTGTTTCAGTGATGTGGCTAGTAGTTTATCAGTCCTCCAGCAGTGATGTGGCTAGTAGTTTATCAGTCCTCCAGCAGTGATGTGGCTAGTAGTTTATCAGTCCTCCAGCAGTGATGTGGCTAGTAGTTTATCAGTCCTCCAGCTCACTGTGACTTGAAGGCTCACCTTGACTGTCAGCTCTTTTTTTTTTTTTCAAACATAATATTTTTGAGTATTTAGAAATTTCACATCATTCACCTTGATCATACTCATTTCACTGTCCTCCCAGGTCTGTTCCCACACTTGTGATCCCCCCCAAAAGAAGGAGAAAACAAAAAACAAAAACACGAGTCCATTTTGTGTTGCCCATGTACTCACTGGGGCTTTGGTAAAGCAGAAACACTGAAACTTATCATTTCATTCTTCTAACACATCTTGGTAATGATTCCTATTCATCTGTTCATTCTTTATTTTCCCATTTGGTCAGATGTACTTCACCACCATGACCATATGATCCTGTATCTCTAGCTACTCTGGGATTTGACTGACATTTGCTCTCAGCACCTCAAACTCCCACAGTCTAGAGATTAGGTCAGCTCTCCATTTTGTTGCTTTATTTTATTTATTTATTTTTTTATTTTGCAATACAATTCAGTTCTACATATCAGCCACGGATTCCCTTGTTCTCCCCCGTCCCGTCCCCCTCACCTTCCCCCCAGCCCGCCCCCCCATTCCCTTTTCCTCCAGGGCAAAGCCTTCCCTGCAGACTGAGATCAACCTGGTAGACTCAGTCCAGGTAGGTCCAGTCCCCTCCTCCCAGGCCGAGCCAAGTGATCCTGCATAGGCCCCAGGTTTCAAACAGCCGACTCATGCAATGAGCACAGGACCCCGTCCCACTGCCTGAATGCCTCCCAAACAGATCAAGCCAATCAACTGTCTCACCCACTCAGAGGGCCTGATCCAGTTGGTGACCCCTCAGCCATTGGTTCATAGTTCATGTGTTTCCATTCGTTTGTCTATTTGTCCCTGTGCTTTATCCAACCTTGGTCTCAACAATTCTCGCTCATAAACCCTCCTCATTCTCGCTAATTGGAATCCCAGAGATCCACCCCGGGCCTAGTCATGGATCTCTGCATCCAGATCCCTCAGTAGTTGGATGAGGTTTCTAGCACGACAATTAGGGTGTTTGGCCATCCCATCACCAGAGTAGGTCAGTTCGAGCTGTCTCTCGACCATTGCCAGCAGTCTGTTGTGGGGGTGTCTTTGCTTTATTTTAAACAAAGCATGTCATACACTGAGAGGTTAATACCATTTCACAATGGACTTGTAGACTGAATGTATAAAACATGTATACTCACCAATGAGAAAAAAAGTGCAAAAGTGAGGAATAGCATGAACCTGTTGAAAATGCATTTCCATGAAGTAGAAACTTGAATAGCCAACAGAAATGAAAACTGTCTATATTCCTTAGCAAAAGCAAAATAATTTTCTTTGGGGGAGCTATATCAAACTCAACCACTTGTCATATGGTAAACTGAGACAGTTTCAACAATTGATGAAAATGTGGATGATCCCTTGCTTTGTTAGTGGGAATAAACAATCCCATAACCCCAATATTCTCCAGCTACTTATTTAGTATGTGTGTTCTGAGGAATTTGCAGGCAGTTTTCTCAAAAAGCAATGTTTAGTTGAGCAGAGCTATAGGAACAAAGAAAATAGTTACAGATTTGCAAAGGTAAATCAGGTGTGTTTTCATAAATAAGATGCTGCACAGCAGGAAAAGAAGCCATATGAATCAAGGTGGATAAGTTTCAAATGCTCTGAAAAAAATAGGCTGCTCTTTGGAGATCATACAGGATGATACCAATTCTAATAGAATGTACCCAGGTTAATATTATGACCCTTGATTGTTTTGGGGGGTCAGTGGTTTTCTTTTGTTTCATTTTGCCTTCTATTTGAGAATGGGCCTCATTTTGTAGCCCATGCTGCCCTGGAACTCATTGCCACCTGCCTACTTCAGTCTTCTACCTACTAGGATTGCGGGTATGAGCCCCATCATGTTTGACATAACCCTCTAGTTATAACGTACAGTGGGACAAAGATTCTTTCCCTCCTTATATTTGATAGATTTATCATACACAAATATGTGTGTGACATATTTTATGATTCATATATAAGGAATCTACATGCCCAAGCAGTGTTCTAGTATTTACGAATACTCAGTGAAATGTATACTGTTTATAAATTTCCTTTCTCATTGTGATGATAATATCTTCCCTGAGAAAAATTCAAAAGGACAAAGAACTATGAAATGGAAACTGGGATGGAGATGCAGAAGAAGTATTGGCAGAAGAACCTACTCAAAGACGCTCTATAAACCAGGAGCTTTATAAGGCCAGGAACTTCAGACTCACGTAGTTGAATCACTCACATTGAGTGCTTTTCCTCGAAGATTTTGTAACAACAAAAAATTTTTTTTGAAATGTTTAGATATTACAAAAAATTCTGTATGTTATGGAAAGATGGAGGAGATCTAAATTCTCACCACTCTAGTCTATTTTCAGTTTCTGCATGAGCATTGTGTGTGAGTGGGTTTGGCATTTTAAAAGTTGAAAAAAGAAAGAGATGTGTTGTTAGTCTTTAGTGCCATAGACAGCTCTGGAGCTGACCTTCTGAGTGTTCTGACCCCTTCTCCTTTATGATTTTCGGTGCATGGAAAAGGACTTTGTGTTTCAACCTTTATTTCAGGTGCCCTCCACATTCTCTACTGCAGAGAAACTGACATGTTCCAGGGTCTGGGAAACTGGTGATGGGATGAGAGTGATAGGTTTGGGAAGCAAAATGTTCCTGTTTGCTCTTCCTCAGCAGAAACACTTGTGACACTAGGGATGGAATGGTTCTGTCAGGTCAGAGCTCCCTGCAGAACAACACCATTGCAAATCGATCAGTGCTTTTGTCTAAGACTACAAGACCAACTAACTGTTCAGCAACCTCTTTGTATCTGGAGATTCCCTCTATCCTTGGGTTTTCACACCATTGGCTGAAATGCTGCTGAAGGTTTTTGGTGTAGCTCAGTGGTAGAGCACTTACCCAGCAATCATGAAGTTGTGGGTTTGAACCCCAGTACAGTACAACTTACATTGTACAAAATATGTATACAAACTAACAAGCCCAAAATTCATAAAGTAACCCAAAATGTATATGTAAAAAGTATGAATATCTCTGATCTTGGGCAAATGTCTCAAATATTAGTCATATTGTTCTATTACATGTGTTAAATAATAGATAAATAAGCATTTCCACCAGTTAACCCTCCCATTTGTCCCAAATTTAAAAGAAAGCATTTTGCAGTATGTATAATAAATTTATTAGATGGCTAGGGGTTTTTTTTCTATCAGTTTGTGAAACATGGTGTTATTTAGGAAGGTGTCAAGAAATGGTAGAGATTGAGCTGCTTTGCCACCAGAGAAAGTGGTAAAGCCACTTTGTCATTTTTGGTGTTTGCTATCCCTTTTGTCAGAAGGACATGAACTAGTTATTATAGTTGGACTCAACTAGAAAGTCACACTGTTTCTCTTAAAATGTTTTTGTAACAAAAAAAAAAAGAAAAATGAAAGTGAGTTAATTGGAAAAGAAAACATGTAGATCATGGTTTAATGCATGCTACTTTAAGGTCTGAATTAATTATTATGTCTAATATTTCCTATTTTTCTTTCCAATTTTGAAGCCTATGTGTGGAACAAATGAATAAACTTTCTATTTAGTAAATGTATTTATTTCAGCTCAATGTTACTGAGAGCAGTAGGCTGTAGGCACAATGGGTAAGACACACAGGAAAGTGATGCCTGGGATCAAGAGCTGTGCCACAGTGGGTTACAGTGATAATCCAACACACATGCACAGACATGCACACAACCACAGATCACTTCTCCAGTCCAGGATCTGCATCTAGAGGTCACTCATCTAGAATTTAGCCCGAGCTCCTTGTTGGACATCTGGCTCACAATCAACAACAGAAGTCTAGAGCTGGGTATCATTTGAGCTGTAACTTGGACCAGTTTTTACCTACTCTCTGGATGACATGTATTTTGTGTCCCCTTTTTCTCCACTATGTGGTCTCCTCTGGCCTGTGAATGAAGACTGCTGTGTCCACTGTATCCTGGCGTGCTTGTTCTGTGAATTCCTGACCCTCTGCAATATTGTCCTGGGACAAGCTTCATGTGGCATCTGCACCTCCGAAGCCTGCTGCTGCTGCTGTGGTGACGAGATGGGTGATGACTGCAACTGCCCTTGTGACATGGACTGTGGCATCATGGATGCCTGTTGTGAATCCTCAGACTGTTTAGAAATCTGTATGGAGTGCTGTGGCATCTGTTTTCCGTCATAAAGATTTATCTTCTGTTTGTATTAAAACTGGAGACATTTTACAGTATTTCTTGTAGGGGAAAGGAAAGCACATGGTAAGATTCTCATGAAGCAACTCAGTGTTTGCACTGTTAACTCATTATGTTTAAGTAATCTCTGAAATTCTTTTTCTTTCACTAAATCTATATGGTTTAATATGTGAAGTTTGGACTAACTGGTTTTTGAAGCTTCTTTGTAGACGTTAATAATTGGAAGACATTTTGATACACACACACACACACACACACACACACACACACACACACGCACACACACACACACACACACACACATACACACACACACACCCAAAAATGTTGTCTGTCTTCTTTCTGTTGACATTTGTGTTTCTCCTAATTGTTCTCAGCAGCTCTTTGCTCTAAACACAACATTGCTCAACAGGTATTTAAACCAGATCATTTATCTTTGATGTTTATCTATTAGAGGTTAAAAGTGAACATTCATTATTCTAAGTAAGCACACATACTGGGCAGAGCCGCAGACAGATGTGGGACTCTCCGTGTTGGTCTGCTCTGTGTGCTCTCACCTCCAATGTTCTACCCAGAGGGCACTGAGGAAGATCATGCTGCTGCCATTCAGAGCAGTGTGCACTGTAGTGGAGGAGGGCAGGGTGGGAGCCGTAGAGAATGAACCAGATCCCAAGGCATGCTGGTGTCAGGACTGGAAAGGAAAGAGGGCATAGGAAGAAACAGAAGCAAAGAACAGGTTATTGAGGAATGCTTGAAGGAGAATGTGGCATTTCAGATGCCTTAGGATGAGCTATTTAAATTTAGGAAAAAGTTTAAGGTGGGTGGCCTGAACTGTCTGTGTTCTGAACAAGTGAAAAAAATGTGCCTCCATTGCACATTTCAACAACACAGCTTTCTTAAGACTATAAAATCAGAACTAATGCAAATATGCACTTTCCTACACATAATTTAAGTGTTATAAATTTTAATGAAAACATAATACCTTGTTAACATAACTATATTTTACCAAAAATGTAGAACACGTTTTAACAACTTTGATTTAAATGAGGTTTTTCTTTTTCAAGATTAAAAAAATCTCTAGTATTCTGATTTGGGGTTTTTCCAAAGCTCACTTATATTTGAAAGATTTGGTTCTTTATGTGGGGCTGTTGGGAGGGGGGGTCTATTTATTTTGGTTGGCTTGTAGCCACAGTCTTGTATTTCACAAGCACATGTGTCTTGCATCCACTACAGGAGGAGCTCAGATGTCTAACACCATCACCAGATAACAGCATTCCAATTGTATGTTAAATTATGCCAATGTGCCAGGTTATAAAGATACTAAAAGTATAAAGATATATGTCTGTGACAAGACTATATAGGGATGGAGTCAGCTCTTATGAAAGGGAGCGTTTGGTTTTACACACATCCTCCCACGTGATTTTTTTTTTCTCTTCAGATTTAAAATTTGGTTGCATTGACTAATTCTTTGCAGGCTCTTGAAAGTATATTTGGTAATTTAGTGGTTCTTTACAGTTCCAGATGAATATCAGATTGTTAAAAAAAAAATGCGTTTTAGGAAGCCTTTAGCCAAACTAGATTTTAGGAGACCTGAGCATTTTTTTTTTACATGAAAAATGAGAATGTCTCCAATGTTTTTTCTTTGAGAGTAAGCCTATCTTATAATTAAATTATTATTTTAAATATTCTTTGATAAAGAAAAGCAAGTGAATCTCCCTTCTAGTGCAATTTATGCATGCATACACTTTAAAATGTTGGCTTAAATACGATGCTAATGTACAACTGCCTTCTTCATTTGTTATGTCAAATATAATGGGAACCTTAATATTTCCATATACCCAACGTTAACCTGTGCTTGTGTCCTAGAATGGAGAAGAGAATCCGTTTATTGATAAGCCTCTTTATGATTGTTGGGATATTTGACTCGATATCCTGAAAGACTGTTTAACCAATAGGTTTGTCTGATGCTCGAATATATCCCGCTATGATTTGTAATGGAAATGATAGTGCATTTGAAATGTTTTTCTGTAATAGAGAACATTAGTGAATACTAGAAGTTAATTTCCATACTTGTACATGTAGGACTTTTCTTCAGCTCTGTACTCCAGGCAAGCCATTCCTTAAGGCATCTTGTATAATTCAAAAGAAAAATAGGCAAATGTGAAAACAGTGTCAATATATTTTAGAATATTGATATGTAGTGTGTTGTTGAATTCTATGGCTGTCAAGACTAATTGCTATGGTTTACAGTCTCTTCTTAAATGTGGCATATTTTCAAACTGGAGCTGTATTATCCTGGATATTTTAAAATTAAAAAAATGAACTCTTTATTGTGCTTTAAGATCCTTTTATATCTAATTAATATATTAGTTGCTCTATATTTAAATTATTTTGATGATAATATAAAACCTGAAGGATTTCTTTACCCTTTTATACCTCTTCCTGAAAATTTTCCTAGTCTCCCTTTCCCAGTCTTTCTCTGTAGATGACAAGGCTCATGACCACTAATGAACAGAGAAATATTTGGAATATTTTATCTACAAGTCATTGCTGCCCTATGTTATCAATATACAGTGTTCTTTTGAATATTCACAGCATGGAAAAGATAAACTTCCTTTTTTCTGCTCTTCCTTCATTCCTCCCACCCTCCCTCTCCCTTCCTTATCATCTCCCTTCTTTCTTTCCCCCTACTCCTTTCCTCCCTTCCTCTTCCCATCCTTCCCTCTCTGTTTTCTTCTTTCTTTCTTTTTTAAGATAAGATTTCATACAGTAACCAGGGCTGGCTTGCACTTCACTATATAGTATTGGTGAAATTATTAGGGCCACTCCACGTAGTTAAAAGGGAGGTTTATTTAGTAGCGTAACTTACAAATGAAGGGATAGGTAGGTTGCAGGGTCTTGGGAAAGATGTAGCTTAGTCCATTGGTGTTCTCTGGAGAACTCTGCTCGGTCTACTTCCAGCGTCCAGGATCCTGGAACCAAGAGAGCCGGTGCATCCAGATCTCAGGTCTTCAGGGGACTCTCTTGGCCCCGCCTTGTAGGTGTGACAGTTACCGAAGCCTCAATGGGGGTTGGAACTTCCAGATCAAAACTGGAATGGCTACCCACTACAATATAGCCCATGGTAACTTTAGCCTCATACCGGTCCCCCTCCTCAGCCTCCCAAGTGCTGGAATTCGTCATGAGCAATCCACTACTATTCACATTTTCCATAGATTGATTTCACTTGTTTACCTAAGGAATTTGTTTTAATTTACAAAACTAAAGAAATTATTTTATATATGCTGACACTGAATAGCAAGCACAAGTATTCCAAGTTGTAAAATTGGGTATCACCTTTAATGAATTTTACATAAAACTCCATTGTCAGAAGTCTTTCTATCTAATACAGCTAAGACAAATATTTGAAGATGTTTTGGAGTTGGGATTTAACAAAAACAGTAGTAGAAGTATTCATGAGAAGTCTTGTTTTATTTTGTTTTGTTTTTACATTTTTTTTATTCTTCTCTCATACAATACATCTGGACCACAATCTCCCCTCCCTCCCCTCCTATCAATACCCTCCCCCAAAATAACTTGGTATCTTCACAGTGGGTTACTGTAGCCATTTTCCTCACTGGAACAGTAGGTGTTGTCTGAACAGATCAAAGAGTAGCCAAGACAGCCTGTGTAATAATTTGCCATTCTCTATCCATAAAAAAATCCATGCTCTAGATTCTAAAGTTCTGTACACCAGACATCACTGCCTAACAAACAAGGCTCCCGCCAAGGAACTGCCTGGCTTGCCTTCTGCAGTACTATTTAATGCTTAGGTTTATCCATATTCCTAATCAATCGTTTACTAATATTACTAATATAATATTAGTATTTAGCAGTATATTAATCCCACTGTTAAGATTATTGATTATTTTTTAATTTAACACTATTCAAAACCTTCCTCCCTTTCAATTACTTGTGATTTCTAGTTCCATAGGATTGCTTCATCTAATCTGAGAAACAATAAGATTTCATCAAATGCTATTTTTCTCCTCGTCTTACACTAACGCAGAAGCATACCACCTTTTTTGAAAGAACGTTAATATATTGCTAGGGTTTCCTCTGCGTCTACTTACGTTTTTGACCAAGTGTTTCTTATTGCAGGGGACTAGTTGCAGTGTTCATCTCTGTGAGTGTTTTCTATGTGCTTGATGAGATACTAGGTATCCTAAGGAAATGACATCATGCTCAGGAAGTTTCAACCCAAGGAAGAAGATTGACATCTCTGAGGAAGACATTGTTAACTCCACCACCGAGGATTCCATTGTTGCTTAACTATCTAAGATTATTATTAGAGGTTTGGTTTAAAATAGAAAAAAAAAAGTTATGGAAACAATGGCATTGTGGTACAGCCCTAATATGGAAATTGGTTTAGCAAAAAAGTCACTGATCATTAAATTACCATGTATCTTCCCATTGCAAAATTCCCAGGGAATAGTGTCAGCACCTTTTACTTTAAAAGTCTGTGTCTCTGGGACTGGAGAAATGGCTTAATGCTAACAGTAGTTCCTGCTTTTTCAGAGAACCCATGTTCAAAAGGATCTAGGTTTGGTTACTGGCGCCCACATCAGGGTACTTATAACTACCTTTATAACTCCAGTTTCAGGGAATATGACACTCTCTTCTGGCCTCCCTTGGTATCTGCATGTATATAGTGCATGGAAACTTATGCAGCCTCTCTCTCTCATATACACATATAAATAGTAAATAAATGAATAAATAAATAATAATCTTTAAAAACAAAGGATGATGTCTCAAAATACTACTTATAAGATCAAATTTTAATGATATCAGCTAATCGGGAGGTGAAGTTCAAAGTCGAGCAGATCCTAGCTAAAAACCAGAATCCTTCAGGGGAGAGACCTGTCCCACACTATTTTTACTATACTGGGACAGAGCATATTTTCCACAAAGGCCACAGCTAAAGCTCAGAAGCAGCCAATTGTCAAATAAGTAGTCCCGTGTCTCCCAGTTGGGCAGTAGCTCGCATTTCTGTTGTTTGTGCATTATTTCTGTCTGGGATGCTCCCCTTATTTTATTTAATAAATACAAGACGAGAATCATTTCTGGCTGTGGAGAAACCATTTTAGGAAACTCATCCTTTGATACATTAGCCACCTGGAGCTAAAGATACATCTGTTGAAGACAAAGACAAAGCATAGCTCTACAATTAGGTATTTACTTCCAGGCAGCCTCTTTGGTAAAATTTAGTTGAGAAAGTAATCATTCTTTAAAAAAAAAAAAGCAAAAAAAATTCAAACAAAAAAATTCCAAGTTTAACTTGAAAAATCAAAATGGTTCTTAAGTTCTGTCTGATGCATAAAGGGGTAGAAGCAAAGGAATTACATTCCAAAGCCAAGAAAGAGGGTGGACAAAAGCACCTGAGCCACTTGACATAGTTCATAGCCTTTTCCAAAGGAATAAAAGTCTGTTGAGCAGGGAACCAAAAGATCTCATTATAGGATGAAGCCAAGCCATATTAAAGCTTGTGCACTAGTAACTATGTCTAAAAACAGCCTGCTGTTTTATATTGAACCAATACATTTCTTAACTTGGTAGGTTGCAGTGTAAAGATGTACAGAGCCTGTCTGCTGGATGCTATGCCAATTACAGATGTGGCTGAGTAGTGTCAAACACCTACAAACAGTACTGAAAGCAATCTTAGAGTGAAACAAAAGAGGTTTTGAAATGTCACCTCAAAACCTAGAAAGCACAGTTCATCATGTGTCTGACTCTTAGAGTTTTAAAATCTCCTTTATTATATAATTTAATGTGGCCGTCATATGATCCCTCAATCAGAGTGCACAGTTCTTTCAAGGACATGAATAGTGCCCGAGAGATACAGAGAATATCTTAGAAGTAACACTTTCAGGTGACAAGTCATCTCTGATCAGCTCTGCAGAAAGTGTGTTTTATCAGCATCAGGGTAAGGGACAAGTGAAATATCCCAGAATACTCACTACATTAGATTTTGTTAGATCATCAGAAAGAATAATTGGGCATATTTACACAATTACCTTTTAGTAAACTGTTATGTGAGTTTAACTATAGGATATATATTCTGGTAAAAGTACATTAAATTGCAATCCAAAAGCAATTTAGCTGCTGAGGATGTTATTTCTTTTTATCTAATTATTCACAAATTAATGAATAAAATTAAATTCCAATCACTGAAGAAAATGAAGCAATGGGGAGAAACAGAAACACAGATTAGTTAAAGCAAAGATATGCAATACATTTCTTTTATTCAAACTTGGTGCTTAAAAAAGAACAAATCCATCATCTTGGAATTTGACTTGTAGCTTGACATTCAAAATAATCTGAGTAGAATTTTCAGTGAGGTAAGCACAAAACTAGTTCAAGATGTGTCACTCTCGATTACTGCACTCAGGTGGTGTACCCATTAAAATTCCCACTTGTGGGTTCCGCTCACTATGCAAATGGGGTCATTACCTGGAGAATTTAATTGGTTATGACATTGGGAGTAGGACTTTTCCTTTCAAAATAAACCCACTTACACATATTTTCACTAGAAATCTGATTGTGATATAGACTTGAGGTTATTTTGCTTATAAATATTTACTAAAGTTAGCCTCTTCTTATTTATTTATTACGAATAATTCAAGACTGATCTAAGTTACTTTGATGTAGTTTTATTTGTTGGTCTGCAAGGTGGACTGAAAAGAATCTTCATAACTAGTTGCTTATCAAAGCATTATTTGTATCTTTCAGTTCACCAATTATATGTGGGTATGTTTCAGTACAGATATTTTCATCATGCAATTACAACATTCTCTGATAATGATTTAATATATTTCATTTGAAAGGCTCATTTTTCTATGTGACACTTTAAAAGAGTGTACAGTTGAATATTAACTTGTCGTCTTAGCTGAATTTATAAACACACAAACATACTCACAGTATTGCTGAGGCCAGATGTCTGTAGCATTTATAGGATCTTTATATTTACTGATAGAACATAATGAGGACATTAAGTTATTTGTCACAGTCAGTCTTGGAGATACTTCCATTATAAGCTGAAAGACTCCTGAATACAGAGTGAATAAACAACAAATTGCTATAAAAGGCACGAGGCTCTGTACACACCAAGGGGTTTTCATTGATTCAAGAGATTCCTCCCAGAGAAAACTCACTAACAAGAATATTGATAATGCCTGCATTTGCAATGAACCCTGAAATCACAGTGTAGTCTAGTTAGGGAGGCACTAACAGTTCCTCGAGACAAGGCCTATGTGGTCTAAATTTGTATTATTAGACCAAGTTTTAAGTTT